CTTCACTGTAGCTTACTCATCTGTGTTTGTCCCTTAAAGAATACGATTTAATAAAATAAGAAAACATGACCAAAAACCCCACTGTGAACTATATGTTATTAGTCTCATCTTATAGATAATGAAACTGAGACTTGCGTAGGGCACATGGAATCCATGCCTGTCTGACCTCAAAGTCTGAGCCCTCTACTGAGCTATATGACTATTTTTGTGTGTGTGTGTGTGTATATATATATATATATATATATATATATATATATATAAGTATATTCAGTTTACAATGTTGTGTCAATTTCTGGTGTACAGCACAATGCTTCAGTCATACATGAACATACATATATTCGTATTTATTTTTTTTTCACCATAAGTTACTACAAGACATTGCTATCTGACTATTAGAGCTAAAAGGAATCTTGGGGATTTCCAGGATAGTGACTTTCCAAAATGCAGGATGGGTGCCAAAAGGGGTGGTACATTTCAAATGCAGTAAACGCCACGGAAGTTCATTTCTTTTCAATGTTTTGATAACTTAGTTCTGTGTCTCTCACTCTTGTTCATCTTCTTTTCTATCAAAGAAAGAGAAGGTCTCAGAATCACAGCTTTTAAAGGTGATGCATGGCTAAGATATAAGTCTGTGTTTATTTTTCTTCATAATTATTCTTATAGCTACTTTCTAGCTAGGGCAAATGATGCTGGTTTTCCTTTTGAGTAGTCATGTAAATTTTTAGCTTAAAAATCAACATATTTAGATTATTTTAAGTGAGCCTATTTAAAGAAAAATGGTCATAAATAATAGTTCAGTGGTATATACAGGTGGTAAAAAGAACGAAGATGCCATAGGAAATCTAGAGTTTGGGGGCACAAATTTGGAGATTCTAGGCTAAAACTCACAGGATCCAACTGAAGAACTCCCATGATATGACTGAAGAAAAAGAGGCCTAGAGATGTAATTAAGTGTCCATGACCTACAGTTTTACAGAACTGCTGAAATGTGATCATTTACCATTTAAAACATACAATGATCTCACCACAAGGAGGTCAGTTTCCACTGTTGTTTCCCTGGTGGGTCTTCAGACATCTTTTGACTACACATACAAACTAGAATGAAAGTTTTAGGAAACAGAAACAAAAATTGTTTCCTTCCAGAGCAGTCACATAGTTTCAGTTCTCTTCTGTGCAGAAATTGAAGTGGGTGGTATTTTAAATTAGCTTAACAAACTGGGAGTTTCAGCTTAAATCAGAACTTTATCTTTGTTTTTATAAAATTTACATTAGTTTATTTAGATATTTCAGCACATAGCAGTCAGCACATCCAAGTATAAGCTACAGCTGTTACAATAAAAAGGACCTTTGCTGGTAGCAAAGCAGGTAGACTGTCTAAAAAATTTAACATGTGAAACAGTTTCCATTATCTCTTGAAAGCAAAATTATCGTAACAACCTCTTCAAAGGCTTTGGATGTAACTTCTCAAGTGTCCATTTGGCGATCTGTTGCTTTCAGCAGCTAGAGGTGATGATGTGGAGTGCCTTTGATGTAACATGCCTGCATTTCCATTCAGCCCCTGGGGACCCACAAGATTCCCCAGTATTCTGCTCTCTTCTAATGGACAAAGTGTCATTTGTTCGCAGGCAGACCTCCTGAGGCAGCTCTTCAGGGTTATTAGATGTACCCTCTTTTTTTACACTTAAAATACCAGGTGTATGTGAGCTCAACAGTGAATTTCATAAAACAAGAGATTTTTGCTGTTGTTAGAACTGGGCTTTCCAAACACAGTAGTTCTGGAGAATGAATGGTTTTAACCTGTTATTTCTGTTATCAAAAGGCAAGAAGAGATGTCACAAAAACTCACCAGCCCACCAACATCAGCAACAGCATGCTGGTTAGGAAAAGAATGGGGCAACCCCGGGAAAGGTAAGCATCTCTCCTTGGTCTTTTGTTATATTGCAGCGTCTACTTCCAGAGTTTCAGCTACTCCTACTGGACATCTGATTCCCAGTCTCTTTCAGCTCCTTCTCCCATTTTGCCTCTTCACCCCATGAGATGGAGATGTACAGTGAGAGGCACTATGGTAGGTATGAGGGCACTGGACTCTGTTCACCTGGGTTCCAGTACTGGTTCTGCCACTTTCCTGATTAAACTATTTCTTCACAGCCGAGCCATCAGTTTCCTTGCCTATAAAGGGAAGATGCTGTCTCCTACAGTAACTGAAAGCAACAGGCAAAGCACCCAACTTGCAGTGAGCACGTTCTCAATACCTGTTAGTTATTTTTCAACTGCATGGTGAATAGTTCCTTGGATGCTGAGTCTATCCATGCATTCTGCTAATATGTATTTATTGAGCATTTATTACATGCCAGGCATGGTTCAAGATGCTTGAGACACACCTATGAACAAACCTCCCCCAAATCCCTGCCCTGGTAGAGCTTCTTCTGGGAAAGGGAGACAGACAATAGTCGGTAAATATAATAAATAAGTTGTATCAGAATGATAAATGCTATGGGAAAAAAACAAATTTGGCTAAGGGGATTGGGAGGGTGGGCAAGGGTGAAACTCAATACATATGATTCAATACAAAATTCCTAAAATAACTCATTTTCCAGAAAAATTAATTCCCTTCTTGATTTCCATTTACTGATAAATCATTGTTACCCAGGTTAAAAACTCACTTCAGTTTCTTTTCTATTTTCCCCCTAACTTACCATTAAATCTCTTGTGTTTTTCTTTCATGTTCTTTTCTTTTTTGTATATATATGTATATACTTTTATTGTCGTCAGTTTACAATGTTGTCAATTTCTGGTGTGCAGCATAATGCTTCAGTCATACATAAATATACATATATTTGCTTTCGTATTTTTTCACCGTCAGTTATAAGATATTGAATATAGTTCCCTGTGCTATATACTCTTCAGTCTACTGATTTGAGCACATCGGCCCTGCGTTGCTGTCAGCCTCGAACTAGCCCCAGCTTCTAGTCTCATCCTGCACTTAGTTCATTTGCAGAGCAATTTCCGTGACAGAGCTCACCATCTCCTCTTCTCTGATGCCTATGGAATGAAGGTCGGGTTTCCCAAGTGGCCGGCTGGTGTCTGGGCTATTTTCTGCTGAGTTCCTAAGTAGGACCCAACAAAGAGTGCCTCTTTACCAACACAGGGTAAAGCAGCCATCAAGGCTTCTTCAAAAAAAACCAAAGCCTATTTCATCTTCCCCCTTTGTTTAGTTTTTGCTTGCTATCCCCTGTAGACTGAATACAATGGTTTGTCTGTAACAGGTCCTTTGTATTATTCTGATACGTATTCCTTTACAGCAACTGTGAAGAAGTATCACAGACTGGGACTCCAGGATCAAGTTGTCGGGAGGCTTGTTTCCTCGGCTTGCAGATGGCTGACTTCTTGACATGTCCTCGTGTGGTTTCTTCTGTGCGCGTGCTTGCCTGGTGTCTGCTTGTGTCCAGATTTCCTCTTCTTGTAAGTACAGCAGTCAGCTTGGGTTGGCCTCACCCTAAAGACCTGTTTCAACTTAATCATCTCTTTAAAGGTCCCATCTCCAAATGTTGTGTATATTTTACTACAGTAAAAAATGTGACTAGTGTGAGAAAGTCAACTTTTAATTTTAATTAATTTAAATGTAAGTTTAAAAACATACTGTATGTTTGAAACGTGTGTAAACTTCATAATGTCCCACTTACCTAAAGTATAGAAAAATAGAATCTCACACATATTCGAAATGCCAACTTTGTTTTCAAGCCAGGGGCAACATTAATATAGCTATCTCCTTTCACTACTGGGGAGAAGTATTACACTTTACACCTCAAGCCTAATTTTAAACTGTAAATTATAAAGCCTACCATTAAATAATCTTCAATCACACATAACTAATAAGCATCTAAATATTTACTGATACTTACAGAACACAAGTTGAATTCACAGAAGCATATTTTATCTTTTTTATTTTTATTTTTTGATTAAAATGCATTTTAATTCTTAAATTTGGAAAATAGTGTTTTTTAAATTTATTTCCTCCTCTCTCCATTTCATGTGTGTGTGTTTGTTGCATCACTGTATTTTATTTTGCAGTTAACCTGGGGGAAGATCCTACACAGATATAATATTAATGTATACAGAAGCATATTCTAAATCAGAAGTACATGCCAACAGCACCAAAATGGTTTTATTTCTGTCACCGACAACATGCACAGCAATGCAACTGTATCATTTGTTTGGTTTCCTTAAATATTTCTTGAGTATGCATTAAAAATATACGTTTACATTTAAGAAACGTAAGACATTAAAAAAGTCCTCTGTAAACACAGCTCCTTCTCAATATATTTTCCTGCTTTGTTTTGTACATAAATAACATAATCTACAAAACCATAAATAAAACTGTTAACTCTTATGACCTAACAGTATGTACAAATTTTCGAGCTTGACAAGTTCTCTCTTTATGATTTTATATAAATAACAACATGCATTATTTGCAATGTTTTTTAATCAAATAGGTGACTTACAATCACAAGTTTCATTGTCTCCCTAACAGTTCTCCCAATATAATAGACC